TATATATATATATATATATATATATATATATATATATATATATATATATATATATATATATATATATATATATATATATATATATATATATATATATATATATATATATATATATATATATATATATATATATATATATATATATATATATATATATAATTGGTTTCCTTTTAAACACTAAACAATTACCATCAATTTATCAAAAATCTTACTAAATAAGTCTGACATGTTTTTAAATTGTCACCTCCAATTTAAATGTACACTTATTTTCATCCACTCACAACTTTTTATTTATTATATACATATATTTTTATCTCACATATTTTATATTTTGTGGTCTACCACTCTATTTATATTTTATTTAAAACGGAATAATCAATAAAAAAAGTACAATATATAAATTACTTGTACAACAAATAATACAACTGAAATCCTGAAAAAGTGAAAATATTTCTATTATATATTCTTGTAATACAATGCTACAATACTATTTAACCCCTCAAATTGAATTTCCAGTGCCCAATTAAAATGTGATGAAGGGAGAATATATATATATATATATATATATATATATATATATATATATATATATATATATATATATATATATATATATATATATATATATATATATATATATATATATATATATATATATATATATATATATATATATATATATATATATATATATATATATATATATATATATATATATATAATAATAATAAATTCATGTAATTTATTTTTTATTAATTACTATTGAATGTAAAATCAAGAATTTATCTAAATTACATAAAATTGTATTATTCACATTTAATTATCAGTTTATAATTACTATTATGAGGTAAGCTTTAAATTAACCTAGATTTAAATTCTTGAACAATGTGGTGAACCAAACGGATTTTGCGCAAGTGGTGCAAAACTGTTGGATCAATGATGTACAGGGGCCTCCTATGTATAGGTTATGGAGAAAGCTGAAAAGGCTTAAGATTTTCCTCAGAACTTTGAATAGAAGAATCACCTCTGAGGTGAAGACGATTCAGGATTATAGGAGCCAGCTTGAGGTTGCTCAGGAAAATCTTAATAAAAATATGTTTAACTCTGACTGTATGCAGGATGTGAAGAAGATAGCAGATAAGCTTATGCATGCTACAATTGAAGAGGAAAAGCTTCTTATGCAAAGATCAAAAGTTGACTGGATCAAATTGGGAGATTCTAATAATGCATACTTCCATGCAATTTTTAGAGGAAAAAACAAGATGAATGGGATTCATATGTTGGAAGAAACAAATGGGCATAGCATTACTGACCCCCAATCAATGCAACTTGAAGTTCTGAGTTTCTATAAGGTCTGATTGGCACCTCTTCATCGGTCCTAAAGCATGTTAATATTGACATTTTGAGGAAAGAGAAGCAGATCAAAAAGAGCAATAATCAGGATCTCATTAGGCCTATTACAGAAAAAGAGGTTCAAGAGGCGATCAATAGTTGACAATAAGGCACCAGGTCTAGATGGTTATAGTGTGAAATTCTTCAAAAGCTCGTGGCATATTTTTAAAACTGATGTTATGGAAGCTTTGCAAGAGTTCTTTGAAGGCAAGTGAATGTATGCTACAATAAATTGTGCCCTTGTGACTCTTATTCCCAAGACCCCTGCAACCAAAAATATGAAAGATCTTTGCCTGATTGCTTGTTATATGATGTTCTGCAAGATTATTTCAAATTTTTTGACAAAACGCTTGAGCAGAGTCATCAATGAGGTGGTGGATATTAGTCAGTCAGTGTTTCTCCCGAGGAGTTTTATACATGACAGCATTTCATGGCGCAGGAGTAGCTTAGAGGTTACAGTTGTAAGAGTGTCCCACCTCGATGTGCCATTCAAATGGACATCCAAAAGGCATATGGCACTTTAGAATGGACAGTGTTAGGGTGCATTTTACGCGAGCTCAATTTTTCGGCTCAATTTGTGATTGGGTGATGATCTGTGTGTCTACTGTGTCCTACAGGTGCTCGCTCAATGGATAAATTACTGATTTCATTCAAGTCCGTAGGGGCCTTCGCCAGGGGGATCCCATATCCCCATTACTGTTTGTGTTGGTGATGGACTATCTGCAGTGATGTCTCCATGAACTGAAAAATCAACATAACTTCAATTAACACCCAAGATGGGAGAAGCTCATAATTACTAGTATCAGTTTTGTGGACGACCTAATGTTGTTTTGTAGAGGTGATAAAGGCTACGTGCATTTACTTATGGAAGTTTTTCAGGATTTCTCCCTTGCGAATGGTCTTAAAGCGCATCCTGCCAAGTGTAAATTGTACTTTAGGAGAGTTAATTACACTGACAGAAATTAGATTATGAGGGATACTGGTTTTGTTGAAGGGGAAATGCCTTTTAAATACCTGGGAATGTCGTTGTCCAGTAGGAAGATTACTATTCTGTGTAAACGGTTGATATATCGGATTGTGTTAAAGATTAAGCATTGGACCTCGAGGCTCTTGAGTTATGCTAAGCGCTGTTAGTTGATTAGGAGTGTGTTATTTGTTGTATTAGCGTATTGGATGCAGATTATCCCATTACCGCATAAAGTTATTAATGAGATTGAGGCAACTTGTCGAAGCTACTTGTGGAGTGGTAAGGAAATTATTTTTAGAAAAGATCCTATTGCTTGGGATAAAATTTGTAGTCCCAAAGCAGTTGGAGGTTAGAATCTCATCTCTGTGAAGTTGTGGAACAAAGCCTCAATGTGTAAGCTTCTGTGGAACATCCAGCAGAAAGTTGATAAATTATGGATACAATGGCTGGAAACGTATTATTTTAAAGGTAGAAATGTGCTCCAATGGAAAATTCCAACCTCTTGCTCTTGGATTTAAAGAAGATTGTCGAGATTATGCGTGCACGACTAGCTACTGACAGGAAGCAACTATCAAAGATAAATTTAAAAATGGCCTGATGTATAGAGCTTTAGAGGAAGACTTTGTGCACGTTGATTGGAAAGACATCCTGGTGAAGAATCGTGTGAGGCCCAGAGTGCTTTTCACCTTGTGGTTGTGTTTATGGAAGAAACTTCTTATGAAAGACAGGCTAATCAAGTTCAGGCTTAATATTGATAGCACATGTTTCTTCTGTGATGAGTTGGAAACAATAGATCATTTGTTCTTTGTTTGTGGTAGGTTTAAGGATACTTGGTAGACTATCCTTCAATGGCTGCAAGTGAGAAGAGACCCTAAAGGGTAGATTTTGGAAGTGGATTGGATCATTAAAGAGACAAAAAAAGAAGGGGGCAAAGAGATAAAAAATATTTATAGAACTCAAGTATTTCTTTTAAAATAAGTATTAAATAATTTTTTTAATTCTATACAATAAAAAATTTTAGAATAAAACGTATTTTAATCCAATTTCTTAACAAAACAAACACAAAATATAATATAGTTCAAAAATATAATCATGTTCAATACAATCAACTTAAAAAGTTAAAAAAATCTTAAATATAGTATAATATAATACAAATATGTTCAATGTCATAAGTTTATTATAGTAATAATAGACATTATAAAAAATACCATTTTTCTTATATCACTCATGTTTCACTTTGCAAACATATAAATCTCCTACAATATTATTTGGTCCATAATATTGAACAGAAAATAGATAAATATTAATATAATTCTCTTCAATACAATCAACTTAAAAAGTGAATTAAAAATTTTAAATTAATATAATATAAACAACTTCAATACTATGAATTTATTTAGATAGTACAATTTTTATTCATTAAATTGATTTATATCATTATCGATATTAATTAGATTTAAATTAATAATAAACTCAATCTTATCTTATTAACAAACCATATACTATTTTCTTATTAAAGATTCAATCTTAATTAACAAACAAAAAAAATTACAATAGTGGAAGGGTAAGTCCTATCCCACTAAATTAACAAATGAAAGAAAAGAAAAAATAAATGACAAAAATAAAAGAAAATAAATAAAAATTGAAAAGATAAATTATAAATGAAAATCTAAACCATGGAGGTCAAAACAGTTCTTAAGAAATCTTTCTGAATAAAATGTGATAGTGTGTTCTATCAGATAAATTAGTGTGTTCTTAAGTAAGTTCCTTACAATTTGACCACTATTCTAAAGTCCAGAGGATTTGTCCACATGACCTAGATATTTTCAAATCTTTTGCATATGCTTGTTCTAAAGTAAATACAATTGTTACTATTTCTGCCGCCAATATCTTATCTTCTTAAATATATAAGATGTTTTACATAAAAATAGATAATTAAGTATGAATTTAATACGAAGATAAACAAATATGAAAATAGTTATTAGAAATAAAATCTCTTAATGATCGAAGTTATTATCAATTGCAAACATTGTAAAAAATCTTATAAAATAATAAATATCTGAAATGGGTAGCAAAAACCGTCAGTAAATAATAAATCTATTATCTATCTATAAAAATGATAGTCCCTGGAAATTACCACAACACCACAGCTGAAAAAATCTATTGTTGGTCTATTGTATTGGGGTAAAATTGGAAACTCCAAAATATCTTGCACCACATTGATTTGAATCTGATGTGGCACTCCCACAATTTTTCACCACATTTTCAATTTTTTTTTTCAAATAAATCCCACATATTATACTGTTTTTTAAAATAAAGAACCAATTCAATTTATTGTGCAGGCAGCTTGAGAAACCCAACCATGGAGAATACCAATTCATTATTCCTTGCCATTCATTGTGCCTCTCTTCCTCTTCCCCATGCCAAACCATTATGCCTCTTTTAATCAGAATTCAAATTCAAATGGAACACCAAAAGTTTTTCACTCTTCCTTCAATCCTTCCCCAATGTGTACTTATGTATAACCTCCATTGCTTAACACCTTCCAGTCGTTTTCATTCACGCAAGCCATTGCTACAGACGTCCCTTTCGTTTTCATTCACGCAAGGCTCTCTGCGCTGTTACGAATCGCTGCGTGACGATGGCGCGCCCAATCGAGTATATCAGTAGCATTGACGATTCGAAGGATTTGTGGAAGGTTGCTGTTAGATGTAAGCATCTGTGGTCTGTTACCAGTTCTCAGAATAGAGAGCACTTAGAGCTTATTCTGTTTGATTCAAAGGTATAATACAATCTAAACGTTTATGCTTTGCCATTCTGATTTTGTTGTAACAGTACTGGTATATGATACTGATTTCAAGATGTTTGTATTTTCACAGTTGGATTTGATTCAAGCCATTGTGCCATCTTATTTGGTATCAAAATTCAAAACACAGCTTGAACTTGGTTGTTCCTACATAATGCATAATTTCAAAGTTTCCAACAATGATTTCTCCTTGAAATCCACTGATCATAAGTTCAAATTGATTTTCTGTGGTTCAACTTCCGTCAAAAAGGTCAAACTTGCTGACATACCTCTGAACCACCTCAAGTTAATTGGAATAAATGCTATTATTGAGGGTAAATACAGAACGAATTTGTTATATGGTGAGTTACATTTTTACTGTTATAATAGAACGCATTGTATTGTGACTTCTCCGTTATACATAACTGTCTGTGGTGAACTTTTGTGCAGATATAATTGGTGGGGTTACTGAAATATCCCAAGCCCAGATAATTCCTGATAACAACAAAAGCAAGGTTGTGTTTTCATTAACTGATCTGAGGTAGGTGTTTCATTTTGTTTGTTAACATTGATGCTGATAAATATAAAAGTCTAACATGTTCATGTTGTTTGTTTTGTAATTCCTGTCAATCAGCAAACATCATGTGCAATGTACTCTTTGGGGTAAATTAGCTGTGCAACTGAATGAGTATTATACGACTCATAAGGCTGATGGTAGTATTGTTCTCCTACTTATGAATGCAAGGATCAAGGAACCTCAAGGTATGCTATGTGACTATTTCTTATTATATCCAATTATTATATCCAACTTTAAGTGTTGTCATTTATAAATATCTCAATTTTCAGGAAATTATCCTTTAAATGTATCAAATGCTTGGAACGGCACAAAACTGCTCATCAATGATTTGTCTATTGAGGAGGTTAAAAACCTTAAAGAGAAGTAAGTGATTTTATTATGAAGTTATGAATTAGAAACCTATGATTACTAACAGCCTGTTTTCATTCTGATCTATGTACATCAGACTTAAAGATGATCTGCCGACGCTCTCATCCTCGAGCATGCAAATGGAAACCACAAATACCTCTGTTTTTTTTCTGATTTGGACAAATTTGTATGAAAAGCTGAAGTGTTGAGTCTGTCTGATATTGCATATCTGCAGACTGTAAGTTGCTCTTTAATACATGACTGTCTTGGATTGAGGAATTACACAGACTGGGTTCTAATCCATTTTTTGAGACATCATCCCATCTTTCTGTTTCAGGAAACTACATGTGTGACTGTTGCGACTCTGGAGAAGTTTGAATGTGGGCAGTCAGGATGGTATTATGATGGATGTAGTGAATGTACCAAAAGTGTGACTTTGAAGGATGGAAAATTCATGTGTTATTCCAAACACATCAGTTCTGAGCCAGTCCCAAGGTAACTTCTAAGTATTGCATATCAATGATTATCATCATATAACCAAACGCTTCATTACTGACAATTTCTTATTTTGATCACGCATGGTACAGGTTTAAGCTTGAAGTGCGTGCCTCCGATGGAAAGTTAAAATACAAGTTCGTATTTTGGGATGTAGATTGTGTAAAGTTGATTGGGAAGTCCTCCCTTCAGATGAAGTTGGATTTGATGGAGGTATTTTCCATTTGGCTAATATGTAAGTTAGATAATTACCACATAAATAACATATATTGTTTTAATCATTTAGACTGGAGATTTTGATCCCCTTGAATTCCCTTATGAACTTGATGTGATGCTAAAGAAGAAGTTGGCTATAAGAGCAGTGTTTCAACCAAACAAGGCCAGTCTTTCTGTAATCGGATTTAAGGCAGATGAAGTGCTACGTACCAAAATAAAGCAGAGGTTTAAATGTGAAGAGGTACTGATGTACTCATGTTTTACTGTTGTTAAAATCAGTATCATGTGCATTGGATTTTTTTAACAATTGTTTAAAACTTGCAGCACACTTCAAAGATTGTCGTCTCAACAGATGACACTCGAGATGATATGCATACAACATCGGTATGTTTTAAATAGGAACGACCTATTACTCTTGCCATCACATTTTGAACAATTGTCTAACGTTTATTTCTTGCGTTTTTTAACTTGCAGTGTACTCCGACCATCAGCACCTCGGAAAAACAGTCTCATGATGATCCACAAACAGTTTCAGTGCGTCTTTTTTTAGCTTTCAACATTAACAAATTAGCCTATTAAACAATGTCTTACTTCCTTTTTTATGCTACTGATTTTGTAATGACTCTTTAATGGCAGGATCCGTTATCAATCACTGCAGATTATGACCCTTCAGTTGCCAACTCTGCACTTACACCGTCAAAAAGATCTATTCCTGAGACAGTTGAAGAACTCGATAGTGCCCAACTATCGTCCACCAAGATAATAAGGGACATCAAGCTGGAGAAATGATGCAGTCAATTATCGTCGACGATTCATTTTTACTTTAAGTTGTTTTGGACAACATTTCACACCTTATTTTGATTGATGTAACGAAATATTTCTGGTTTACATTTTGTTTATTCTGGTTTATGAGGATTTGATTTGTCATTCTTGCTTTTTGTTTGATCCTTTTGACATTGTATATGAAAGAATGATATGATTTTAGTCATTTAAGCTGCAAAAAACTATGTATAATTTACACTGCAAAAAGCAATATGATGTTGGTAATTCCTTATTTTGTTTAATATAATAAACTTATTCTGGACAAAAATGTTTCTCTTTATGTCTTGATGCTGGACAATCCATATTGTTTTGCATACTTTATGCATAATACACGGTAGTATATCAGCATACTGTACATTAATCTAAAAAACTAATACATGAATAACAGATTATGCATAGCAGAAATCCATGACACTTGATTAATATAAATTGTTACCGGATAATACCGGAAACGATATGCAATTATCTCATCAACGCAAGATATGGAACTAATTTCGTATCATCCCATTTAACAAATCATAAGCAGATTGTACATTGAGCCGTAGCCCAACAATATCAAATAACAAAACTAATAACAAAGACAAATGGGCATCAAATAGATTTTCAAAACAAATAGTTATGCATTTCCGCCCATACAAAAATAATCCCTCCTTTTTGCCATGATGCTTCCCATGTAATCCAATCAACAACTCCTTTCAATGCTTCCCTCTCTCAACTTTGACCAATATACGTTCCACAGGAGGATGCTCTACACTGAATAAGAGAACGTCACCTTTCGACAACTCTTTGTCCTTTGCAAATTTTAACCAGCCCCTTGACAGAAACTTCTCGGTGATGTTCTCCCTGGATTTGAAAACACATTGGTACGTGTGATCGGTGGATCTGGAACTGACTGTTTAACGCTGGTTTCGCGAAATGTCGCGGAAGCAAGAGTCGCCACCGTCTTTTATTTTCTCCAAATGGAAAGGACAAAAGCACAGAAAAATTCCTTAAAGAGATTGCTCTCGGTTCGGGAGGTAGATTATAGAAAGGGAAGGTGTTAGCACCCTTTCTATTCATGGTTATCCATGAGCTCTTAGATACTTGCTCATTTGTGTTTTTCAAAATTGTTTGTTTGCTTTTCAAGTGTGGGTTTAAAAAGTTTCTTTGAAAATTCCAGTTCGACTCTTGTATCGGTCCTCAAGAGTGTTTGAAAAATTGCTTTCGAAAGCTTTTTGAAAAGGTGTCAGTGTGAAAAGTTTTTTTGAATTTATTTTGAGATTAGAGCAAGTATCTACGAGAACCTACCTACGCTAAGGAATTCGTCTGTGTAAATGTCCTTTAAAGTAGTGCCATCCCACCATTGAGAGGTAGGTAGCACCACCGTTGGAGGTGTTCGGGTCAATTCGAGGTTCAGGACATGGTGATCACCAGAGCAATAGGAAGACACCTTAGAAGCTACCCTCATGCCAGGTTCCCGGATCATGAGGACTTACTAAAACATCTTCTACTCGACGATCACCTTTCGAGGCAAGGCAACAGTGAGGCGTACCCTAGGGGTGGTGTGTGCGATTTGTGTGTCGTTTTCATTTATATTTATCTTGTCATGTTATTGGTGTGCTACGCTTGTTTTTATTTTTGTCCATACATTCTTTCATGCCATTTGTTAACAGTTAAAAATGCGAGGAAAGTAAAAGTCTAAAGCTATTACAAAAGGCGCGGGTCCACATCGCCAAAATTAAACCAGGACCCGATTTGACGGAAAATAGAGAACAAAGTAAATAAAGAATTAAAAGTGCGAGTAATTAAATACATGGCTTCGGGAGAGATACATGAATATTTAAACGGAATAAAATAATATGCGAATTAATAATTAAATCGAAACGAGGGCGTTGGACCCTTTTTGCAAAATATTAAAATTACATGAATTAATTAATTAAAAAAAGAAAAGAAATTGTTTTTGTTTTTGGTATTTTATGATTTTTAAGACTTAATATGAAAAAGAGAATTAATTAAAATTAAAATAAGATGCAAACCCTAATCCTAATTATTTTTAATTTATTAAGAAAATATCGAAGTTTTTTAACCTAAAATTAATCCTAATTTTTATATGCAAATTTAATTATAAAAATAAATAAAATTATTTAATTATTATGGGAGAAAAAGGAAAAAAGATGAAATTAATTAAAACCCTAATTCTATGTTTTTTAGATTTTTTTATTAAAAGAATTAAAATTAACCTAATTTAAAACTAAATTTAATTATATGCATTTATTTATGAAAATACTAAAAAATAAAATATTTATTGTTTTTCTCTTTTTTCTGATTTTTATGGGTATTTTTTATATTTATGAAAATATTAAATTGATTAAAAGAATAATAATTAAAAGAAGATAAAAATAATGAAAAGATAAAAAATAACAAAATTTTTGCAAACCTTGGGGGTATCAGTCCCCAGATAGGAGGTATAGTTTAGCAGCCTGGCCCAAGAATCTGAGGCCTTATGGACTTTTTCTGGGAGCATACACGCGCGTTGACTTGAGTTCATCATAGTCTTCAGTTCATGGCCGTTGATCTGACGCTCTGGGACACGTGGGCGTTGATTTTTGAGGATGCATGATAGTCTTCAGCACAAGCGCTACATATGAACATTAATTGAAAAATAACAAATGGAAAGGGTGAAGACCTGGGATCGAACCCAGGTCATTAACATTACCAGTCAACACGTGCACCACTGAGCCACTTCAAACGCGTTTAATATGGAATAACGAATAAACATTATAAGAGAAAAATTGTTAATGGCTTGGAAACGCGCGCAAAATTTGAATCAGCCTATCACCATTGGCCACGAGTTCTTCTTCTTCTTCGTCCCTGAAATACAAAACATAAGCCACGGTTTTTTCACCGTTTCAGAATGGGTCCTTTGAGAAAATAGCGATTAGCCATTAAGTGCTCATAAATTGAGCGCGAGAGTTCCATTGTCTTCGTCCAAATGCGCTGATTTGAATGGTGGTGGTCAGGGGTTCTAATTTTTCCTTGTTACGAAACCCCTAATTGGAAGCTCTGTAAACCCTAGAAAACAATCATGGCATAATCGCGTACACAGCATAAAAATACAATTGAATCGTTGGGTTAGCTTTGGAATTGCATGAGGAGTATGAATCACATATTAAAACTTATTAAAAGTGCATGAATGAAGATGCACGATTGTAAAAAAAAAGCAAGAAAAGTCAGTTTCTGTACAACGATTCTTTGAGTTTTGATGGATGTTTGTGATTGGAAAATGTTCAGTGGACCTCCAGGAAGGTGTTTGAACAACTATTAAGCCTTGAATCAACCTGCAAAAGGGTTTTCAGTATTGAGTTTTTTAGACAAAATTTCAAGTTTGATAATGGATTTCTGCGCAGCTTCAATGGTCCAAAGCATTAGGGTTTCGTTTATGCTTATGTAATGAATCAATTAGGTCAAGAAAAACCAAAACAAATCAATTGCATTCATGGTTTTGAGATTTGATTTTCAATCATATTTTTTTCAATCTTTCCATGTGCTTTTTGATACAAATCAACTCCAATCTCTCCAAATCTTTCCCTATTTGAATATGCATGAAATCTTGAGGATAAAACATGTACAAAAAGATTGGAAAACTTAGGTTAGCATTTTTCATGTATTTAATTTGATTTAAATGAATTATTATTAATAAAAATTCAAATAAATAAATAAAAAATGAATAAAAACTTCCCTTTGGGCCAAGTGGTCGTGCACATGTCATGGATGATGAATTATGGAGGAAAAATAGGCCTATTAGCAATTTTAGGTCATTTGAATCAATGTTGACTTTTCAAAATATCCAAAAATTTCCCAACTTCTATAAGGCATAACTTACTCAATTTTTAAGCTTTTCTCATGTTCTTGGACATTTTGGAAAGGTCTTTGAATCCTATAACCAATGCCTTTGGTCCCATGTCATTTTGATTTACCAATCTCAAGTTATGGCCTTTGACTTAAAGTCCCCTTTTGTTGACTTTTGAAAATGACCTATAATGTTGAAATTGATAACTTTTTGTGAGAGCATTTCTTGGACTTGAAGTATGAAGATGAGTTGTAGGAAATGTCTTTCTCTTCAAAATGAGCTTTGGATGGAATTTTTCTGATAATCCATGTGAAAGTTATGCCCTGGTCAATTTACAGTTGACTTTTTCAGTTGTCCAAATAAGGAAACTTTTGCATCTTGATGATTTTTGAGCCAAGCTTTGAGAATCATGATCAAGCATTGATCAAATGATGTTTGTGGCTTCAAAATGATATGTTGACCAAAAATTTGAACTTTTGACTGTCAAATAACCATTTTGCCCCTACAGTTGACTGTAGTGCAATTAGGGTTTTTGACTGTGCAATTTTGAGCTGAATGTCTTGAAACTTGGTATGAGGATGCTTGACCATGTTTGTAGGCTTATGAGACTTGATTGGACCTTTGGAAACTTCATTTTCTTGATCAGAACACAAACCCTAATCTTGACTGTTTAGGAGACCTTTGACTGTGCAACCCTTGGGGAGATTTTGAAGCCTGACTTTGCAATTTTTTGAAGAATATGGGAGGGAAAATTTTGGGGTACAACAGTTGCCCCTGTTCAATCTTCTTAGACCTGAGGATGCAGATTGGCTGACGTGCCTTTCGTAATCCGAAGGTGGAAGATGATTGAACACTAGAGTGCCCAGAAACTTGCGCTCACATAGTAGCAGTGTGATGATGAAATGGGCTTACAGATGCCATTTAGAGGTTGATGGGGGATGATGGGCTTATAGATGCCATCTGGATGTTGATCGCGTAAGAGATTCCTTAGCGAGAACCTGCATACCTGCAAAAGAAAAATGAGTACCTGACATGTTGCAGGAGCTGGTTTTCAGATGCTTTGTATAAATGTGTCCTGACTCGTTACAGGAATCGGATCTTCGAATTCTTCAGACGTGCCCTGGCGAGATACAGGAAT